AAAAAAAAAAGAGACGCGGCGAAACAAGAAAAACGCGGCGAAATACCTAGGCGACGGTTTCCTTTTTTTTCCAATTCCCCCGCACCCAAGGGTTGTGTCCCGTTTGTACCTCGTACACACGCAACACGTTAGCTACGATGTCGGAGGAAGCGAGCGCGGGCTCTGCCTCCGAGTCACAGGCCTCACAGGCCTCGCAGGCCTCACAGGCCTCACAGGCTAGTGCTGGTGGTTCTTCCTAGGTAGACCAGGGACCTGCTGCTACCGACCCGAAGGCTTCAGGAGAGGCTATCGACGAGGTGCTGGCCGCAAATAACCCCGACAGCAAGAAACGCAAGTACCCAGAGCCCGGCTTCCCAACTGAAAGGTCAGGAGCAGTCGGAAAGAAAGGTAGCTACCCGGTCGGGTTCAAACTCAAAGCGGTCGCATTCACACGCGTCGTCTGCGAGGACGGAAAACCGGTGGGAAACAGCGGTGCAGCGAAAGTTCTCGACGTGCCCCGCAGGCGTATCGTCGAGTGGGTGCGCGACGAGGAATCGCTCAGAGCCAACGTCAGCGCCAACCCCAAGCTGTCTAAGGCCAAGCAAATTCACGCTGGAGGCAAAGCTTCGACAGCCGACATCGAAGAAGCCCTGGTGGAATTCATCAACGATCAGCGCAAGCATCACGTCGGCTGTGGTAGCATGGCGGTCATTAACAAGCTGCTTGAGTTGAAGCCGGATGGACAGCCTAGCCGAAGCCAGAGGAGGCGTTGGCTTTCAAGTCCAAATTCAAGAGCTGGTACCAACGTTTCCGCAAACGGAACAAGTTCAACATCCGCCGGCGTACAAGCGTGGGCCAAAAGCTACCGAAGGGACACGAGGGCATGGCGTGGGCGACGTTGATGAAGCTGCGTAAGGCTCTCCTGGAGCGTGCTGGCGAGATCTACGCTCAGCGCTACCCGCCTGCACCTGGCGAGAGCCCCATCAGAGGGGAGGACCTGAGTTCATCGCAGCTGGAGTTGGTGACCGACGAATTGTTCGAAGAACTGGGCAACATGGACCAGACGCCAGTCCAGCACGAACGAGATGCCGGAGGTGACGACTCTGGAAAAGACCGGTGCGAAGGATGCCCGCATCGCCACCGGAGGTGAGAGTATGACTGCTGTGTTCAGTGTTTTCCTAACTTTTGCCATGAAGTGTCGTGCGTATTTGCGGTCGGCCGGATATTTGTTCTGGTCGTGATATTATTCACATGTTCTTGGAAACGTAATTCTACCGTTTGCATCCATTTCAGCCGGCGTCTGTTGCATTCGCACAATTTTGAATCCTCTCCCCTACCCCCCAACATCGTGTATCCCCCCCCCCACCACCAGGAAAAGAGAAGGAACGCTTCACGCTCTGCCTGGCTGTCTCGGCGGATGGCAAGAAGGTCCCGCTGCGCATCATCTTCAAGGGTACGCCTTTCGTCCCGCCTGCCACGCCCGGGAAGGGAAAGGCGACTCAGCCGCGGAAGAACTCTATCGCGTGGGAGGTACTTCCTGCGAACCGCTCCAAGCACGGGCTCCCCGTGGAAGGCATGTCCTTCGGGGTGCAGGAGAAGAGCTGGTGTGACCTGCGGGAGTGCAAGCTCTGGATCAAGGGCAGCTGGAAGCTCCGTCCCAACAACGGCAGCATCGTCCGGCAGCGCCGATGCATCTTGGTGCTGGACGACTTCAAGTGCCACAAAGACGATGGCTTCATCGCCGCCCTCAAGAGGGAAGCCAACACCATCGTCATCTTCATCCCAGGCGGGTTGACTCCTCTCCTTCAACTGCTGGATCGCATGCTCAACAAGCAGATGAAGCGGCTGCTGCGGGTCATGTACACGGCACACACGGCAAAGGCGGCCAGGGCCCCCAAGACGGGCAAGCTGGCACCGCCGGGGCGTGGGGCCGTCGCTACTTGGTGCAAGAACGCGTGGGCATCCATCACCCCCGAGACAGTCAAGACTTGCTTCAAGATCTGCGGCCTCACGCTCGCGCTCGACGGCAGCGAAGACCACGCCTGGTGCCTGCACAACTTCGGGGACGGCTACCGCGAGCTCCTGGAGCAGCAGCGCGTCGAATGGCTTGCGGAACACCCCAACGTGACTCTGCCGCCGCTCCAACTTCCGAAGGTACCAGCCGAATCAACCGCCAATCACATCGAGGCTGCAGCAAAGGAGCTCGAGGCGGAGCTTTTGCCTCGCGGCGACGACAGCGACATCGAGATTGAGGATGACGACAGCGATGTAGAAGTCGTGGAAGGGGCGGGGGATGAAGAAGTGATCGAGCTGTAAAATACCGCCGTTACGTGGGAGTACCAGTACAGTAGAGATTTGGTTTGCAACATGTTCGTAGGAGACTGGCGCTAGAACTCTGTGATGCAGAGGACAGCGGCTTCTAGAGAGGCGTTTTGGTTTGGTGCTACATACGAACGCGGAACAATACTTGCAACGCGGTCCACGAGCATGTGCCAGTAAAGATTTCCAGAATACTTTTGAGGAGATCGCTACTTTCTGCCGGTTTTTCGCACGAGTCCTAGGTGGTAGTTTGTTGCGGTGGTTTCGATGAAAAAACACATAAAAATGATCACACGCTGAAAAACAAATACATTTTCAAGTCCGGTGGGTACCGTATAACAAAAAACGTTATTGTGCAGAGGGACATGAGCACCGCACGGCGCCGAAGTTGATTCTTCATCAAACACGCCCCTACTTGTTTAGCGCACAAGACTGGACACCGCTCTTGGAAGCGCCCAACCTCATTGCTGGGATCGGGGTCTCCGCACAGTGTGCGTAGACCCCGATCCCTGTGCGATAATCGAATTAAATAATGTGGAACCCGGTTTTTGTTCCGCACCTCTGTGCCATGACCCCGACCCGTGCGGAGACGCCGATCCGTGCGAAGACCCCGATTCTTACGGTAACAGCAGCAGTGTATGGCACACCCTTCTTCCGCCGTCTCGCCCTCGCTGTGGTCTGTGTCTCCCTCTCCCTGTTTTTGTCCATGTTTGGCTCTGTGGGGAGGGAGGTGTACTCCGGGGGGGAGGGAGGGATGTGGTATACTAAAAAATAGCTATTACGGTGGCACATAATTAAGAGAAGCAAATTTTTGCTCTTTTCCGGCGAAAAACTTTTTCTGAACAAGGCGTGTCCGTAATTGTTTTTCAATCGCAGGAAACAAACATTATGGTCCAAAGCCTTTATATACACAGTAAAGCTAGGGCAGTAGACCTACCACACATCAAATGAAATATGGCAACCACAGCTTTCAAATGAACCTGGTCTTGCTCTCATCAGATAGCGACAAGGTACTTTTTGACTGTATTTTTATGTGGGGAGGCGAAAAAACAAAATGGCGAAGAAATAGCAACGCTTTTTGGAAACCCTATGATTTGGTGACGTGGAATCGGCCGGCGGTGGCCTATTGCGCGTAGATATATGTGTATATGTGCCAGTGAGGTCGTGGGTTTGCGCGTCTCAAAGTTGCTTGCGATCAAAGTGTGTTTCTCAGGCCTTCGTGGGCTGGGAACAGCAGGGAAATTGAACACTGAAACNCAACTAACTGCAATTCCCTCATACGCTCATCGTTCCAACCATAAACCAACACCTACTCAATTCTAGTCTCCACCCCCATACTCTTTTCTTGACCTTCCATTCCATCACGCCTCAACATATATACTGCGATAAAACTACCCCAAGTCTTCTTACCCTGACCTAATCTAGGGTTGACTTATTGCACGACATTCGCCCCCCCCAGGTTCAACGCACACCCATCTGCGATCAGTCTCGTTTGAATTAACACTTGACCACAACGTGCAATACCTGACCTACAACCAATGTCATTTCCTTGCAGCAAGTCCAAAGATTAATCACCAGAATTCAACTGATGCAATACACACACTCTCCAATTACGTCAAGACCGTGGTACCAATGCAATATGACTCCATCACAAGGTACATTCTTTAGCCAAAACAGGAATTGCTCAGCACAACATTATTTTTTTTTACCCGTATTCGACTGCTGCATGCACCACTTGGCACACTTTTCCGCAGTCCTACGCACTTCAAAAACACTACACAAATTTTGACCCGTATTCGACTGCACCACTTGGCACACTTTTCCGCAGTCCTACGCACTTCAAATTCAAACACCTAATCATCTTCCAACTCAAACATGTACTTCTTGGCACTTTTCGCCGTTCGGTGTGCATGCCAGCACCACGTTCGTTCCTGGATCTTGTACCAGGTTGTCCGTTGTCAGATTCTTCTCCAGAAGTGCTACATTGATGTTTTTGCCGATGTCCACCAGCTTGACAGTATGCTTCATGCCTTCTTCCCACCTCGGATCCGGAGTCACCTGCACCACCTTAGCAAACTGCCACCAAGCCTTCACAGTCTTAAAGTATAAATAGGCACCAATCATCGCCTTACTTCGAAGACTCGGCCTACACCGTATGTCACAACAAAGTTTGTAATCTTTCTGCACGTGTCTTTCTCCCTTCCTGCTAGCAATCGTCCTTTTTGCACCCTGAATACGGTACCTCCGATACCTAATATTCCCTCCGGCCGATTGTTCCAGCTGCTCATTCTAATATTTTAGTACCACGTCCCCATATTGCTCTAGCTCTACTTCATGCTCCCACGTACACTTAGCCAACCCCGTCCATTGCGTGTAGTACTGAACCGCCCCCTTCCCACTTATACCTCGACAAATCCTGTGCCTTGATATTTTACACGGGACCAATTCTTTACTATCCACTTCTTCCTCCACGTCCTCTGCCGTAAGGTGGAACGGAGGCGCTAACTCTGAAAACTTATTCAACACATACTTGCTAAAGCCCCACGGCAAGAACCTAGGTCTATCCTCGTTCTCGTGCTGAGTATAGCACTTCTTACACCGATATACCGACACCCTCTCGTTAATGTTCTTTCCGAGCTCATCCTTATTCACGTCCAAATACAAAATATTCGGGCCCACCTTTTCTCCGTCAAGATCATCGCCTGGACCCACGATCAACACCGTATACGGCCCGGTCCAATGATGTGCCAACTTCGGGATCAACGCGAACGATTTTTCTTTCCCCCTACTGTTCATTCGCGATTTAAGCACGTGTTCCCCCCCACCAGAAATTGTACTCTTCTCATCATACACCAAGACCCAGTCCCCCTCCTTGTACTTCGGCCTCTTCCCTATTATCGAGTTCAACACCTGATTGCTCTTCTCATGCTTTGACTTGGTTATCTTATCCTGCTCTCTTACCAACTCGTACGCCTTCCTTTGCTTATCCCTCATCAAATTCAAATAATCCAATTGGTCTTGCTTTAGGCCCTGATTTCCCGAAACACCCCTTCCCTCCAAGATCGTCATCGGCAACCTCGGGTACCTTCCAATGTGTACAACGTTTGGTGCTAGCCCCGTCCCTCGGCTCACGTTATTGTTGTGTGCCGCTACCGCGTGTGGCAACATCTCATCCCAATTCGCCTGATCGTCCGCAACCAAGTGCGACAACATTTGACACAGCGTGTGATTAAAACGTTCCACCATCCTATTCGTCTGTGGATGATATGAGCTAGTAAACGTCTTCACAGTTCACAGCATCTTATACACCCCTTTCGCTACCTCATTCGCAAACTCTGCTCCTCTATCTGACAACATGGTGTGCGGACAACCCCACCTCGCAATATAATCGTTCACCATGATAGACACAAAACCCTTCGCATTTTTCTGCGCCTTCGTTAGTGGGTACCCCTCGGCATGTCTGCTGAATAAATCTACCACCAAAAACACGTACTCATTGTCTTTCGTCGTTTTCGGCAATGGACCCAAATAATCAAACGACACCATCTGCCCCGGTCTGCTCGGAAGAGGCAAAGACACTAACGGCCAACACTTCGTATGCCGCGGCACCTTCCGAAACTGACAAGAATAACACCTACGAATCCACCACCGCACGCTTTCAGCCATTCCTATCCACCAGTAAACCCTCTGTAAAATACCTAAGGTCACCTTCTCTCCCAAATGCACCGCTTCCTTGTGGGCACAATCCATGACCCATGGTCTCAACATCCTAGGCACATACGTCCGAACTGGCTCTTCACCCACCCATCTCTCAAATTGCCCTGGATTTCTATTTGGATTTTCCGCAGGGGCTTTCAATTCTTTCCTCACCAACAAATGCTTCGAATTTGGCAACACCAGCAAAGTACCCTGGGAAACCAACCGCTTCAACTCATCCAAGTCGACGTCTACCCCTTCCGGAATGTCTCCCTCCTTCATTCTCTTTGGATCAGCGTGCCCTTCAATGGCCGTAATTGCTAATCGCGCCGTGTCGTCTTCTTCCTGAATATCTGCCCAGTCACTAGCCGTCTTATCACATAATTTTTCCCCAAATTCAATTGCCGCTTGCGTCTGTTCTTCATCATACTCTTGCAACGGAATTTGAGGCAACGGAGGTGCTGCCGGACCCCTGCCCCCGGAACCCCTTCCCCTACCAACACCAGCAGCCCCTCTTCCTCGAGCCGCACGACCTCGACCCCTTCCACGCGCAACAGCCCTGCTACTACGAGCACTACTGCCACCTCCACCACCAGTAACAATCCCACTCCCACGAGCGTTACTACTACCCCCACCACCCTCACCACCAGAGGCACAGCCCCCTCCTTGAGAAATAGCATAAACTCGCGATTTTCCCACCAATCCCAACAAGCGTCTGCCAACTTCCGTTAAAGGAACCGCATGCAATATCAGCCCTGGCTCAAACTGACCACTGACTACTTCCCCACTCGGTTCCACCAACCGGGTGTCATCAGGCACACACGCACCATCAGGCAAAGGGTTGGACACGTCCTTTCCCCTTTGGATCAGCGCCCACGTCTTGTCTGCCAGTTCGTCCGTAGTGAGGCTTGCCGATGTACAGCCACCTTCCCCCACCACAAAATCATCGCGATGGTTCGACCCAGCGAGCGCCTCTCGCTCGGTATACACCGGACCCAATCGCGAAGGTAGCACCCCGCTCGCACCTATCATATAAACATCGAGATCAGACGGATCAGTCAGCCTAACATCTGGTGCCTCATCCTCTTTCGTCGCAGGCAATGGCAACCGTGACATCAAATCGGCATTTGCATTCTCTCGCCCTGGTCGATACTTCAGTTCATACGTGTACGCTGACAGGAAGTCATACCACCTCTGTACGCGATTGTTTTTCTCTGCCAAACTCCCCAAATTCGCAAGGGTTGATGGTCACTGTACACGTCAACGGGGATGCCATAAAATAGTGTTCGATTCTTCTTAATCGCCCACACTATCGCACCCGCTTCCAGCTCAGTCGGACTCCATCTGGTTTCATTCGGGAATGTGGATCGGCTCAAAAAGCATAGCGGTCTAATACTCCCATCTCGTTGCTCTTGCTCAATTATGACAACCAAACCCGAAATTGACGCATCAGCGGTTAACCGAAACCGCCGCTCTCCCGAGATCGCACCCTCATAACATGGAAATGCCAAAACTTCAGGACCAGACAGAATATCTATCATCTTCCTCACCACTGCCACATGATCAGCCGTGAACGCAAACTTTGCTCCCTTTTTCAGCATCGCATTGATCGGTTTCAATTTAGCCGACATGTTCTTCAGGAATTTGCGATAGTACGACAAAGACCCCAACAACGATCGTAGCTAGCTGNAAACGGCCGCTCTCCCGATATCGCACCCTCATAACACGGAAATGCCAAGACCGTAGGACCAGACAGAATATCCATCATCTTCCTTACCACCGCCACATGATCAGCCGTGAACGCAAACTTCTCTCCCTTTTTCAGCATTGCATTGATCGGTTTCAATTTTGCCGACATGTTCTTCAGGAACTTCCGATAGTACGACAAAGACCCCAACAACGATCGTAGCTGGCTAACATTAGTGGGCATTGGCACTTCACGCAGCGGTCTGACCTTTTCCGGGTCCGGCCCGATCCCTTCCGCCGTGACTTGATGCCCCAAGAACGTCACCACCTTCACCCCCAGGTTCGTCTTCTTGGGTGCCAGTTTCAGGTTGAACTTGACCATACGCTCGAAAAGCCTTTCCAGGTCGCGCACGTGTTCCGCCACGTCCCTGGAAAAAACGAGCACGTCATCGATAAACAGACGCACACGTTCCAGTCCGTCACATACTCTGGCCATCACCGAATGGAACCACCCAGGACTACTACTGAGACCTTGCGGCACAGATAAAAATTCGTACAACCCCGTAGACGTGATAACAGCAGTGATCGGAATGCTGTCCTCCTCAATACTGCACTGGAAAAACCCACTGACCAAGTCCAGCGTACTGAAGATTTTCGATTTGTCCAATTCCACCAAAATATCCTCCACTATCGGAATGGGCAATTTCGGGATTACACTCATTTTATTGATGCGCTTGTAGTTGACCGTCAACCGCACACCACCGTTAGCTTTTGCGACTACCACCAACGGACTTGCCCAATTGCTGTATGATCGCCGCAGCACACCCGCCAACAGCAATTTGTCAATTTCGATCTGCACCTTTTCGTTCATAACCGGCGAATAGCGATATGGCCTCTGCCGCACTGGCTGTGCCCCCGGCTTCAAAATGATTCGAAACGGATCCACCGTCACCCGTCCTAAATCCGAACCACCCTTTGAAAAACGATGCTCAAACTTGCACAATAAATCACCTAGTTTGTCAATGTCCTCTGCCTCCCACAGTTTCGCATTGAAGTCGAAATGGACGTCTCGAATGTGCGGAGGCACTCGCTGCCACAACCGCCTGAACGCCACCTGTTGCGCCCCATTCAAAGAAGACATAACATCCGCGGGAGGTTCGTCGTTGGGCACGTCAGCCTCTTCACCCTCCTTAACCGCAAATACATTTTTGAATTCCTCATTTTCCACCAAACGAGCATCATCCAAATTTACCACCTCCAGGGGTTCACCACCATACCCCAAAATATCTTTTGGTTTCACCAGACACGAGCTATCCCCCACTCTTCTTAGAGGAATTTCAGACGTGCCATTTTCGACTAATGCTTCCTGCGGGAACCACTTTTTTCCAAACTGCACCCGGTACGTCCCCACCGCAGCATCACTGCCATCAAGGTTGGTTAATTTTACCTCAACCCATGACATTGCATTTGGAAGCCATCGTCTACCACCATTAGATTTTACCACCACCTTTCCATCACCTTCCGTTTCCACCATACCAACCGCGTTACCCACCCATTCCTCAAAGCGGTGATCTCCTGCCACTTTATCAGTATTTGCACTGACAAAAGTGACAATTGTTTCTGTGTCCGACACGTCTTGGAATCTGCGAACTGGAAAATCAGCCCAACTATCCCTCCCTAGTATCAGATCATGTCCCATAGCTGAGTCTGGCACGATGTACGCATACACACTCGTCCGTACCGTCGGTGTACCGAAATGAACCGGCGCTGATTTTCCGCCCTTCCACATTTCAATATTTAATCGCATTCTTCGATCTGTAACCAACGGCACCCCATGGAACCCACCCCACTTCTTGTTTAGTCCTGTTTCGATGCTATCAGCTGAAGCTGAACCAAATGCTAACATCTTTTGCACACACCTTTCTTGTACAAACGATGCCGGACTTCCCGTATCCAACAGAGCCTCCCACGACATCATCTTAGTCGCTCTCGACCCCGCGAACACTTGAACTCTAGTCGTATGCCGATGTCGATCCATCGTCAAATCCCCACCAACCGACCGAGTATATGGTGACAAGTAGTCCGCCGCTTCACCTTCAGCAAACGTAAAAGGAGGCGGAAGGTACACCGCATCACTCCTTTGTCCTGACACAGAATTAACAGATACTTGTACGGCAAAAATGCGATCTGTTCCTTCTTGTGTTTCACCAAAATTTCCTCCCTCCTGCGCTGTTATCTCAACCTCACGCTTGAGAGAATTTTCAGAGGCGGATGCATCCCCTATCACGCCCTCTTCTCCTATCACTGGTAAAGCAACAGTTTCATGGTTCTGCTTGCTGCCAGCACGATCAACGGTAACGCTCTTTTCCTTTCTAGTGTCCCTATTAATCGACCCCTTTTTGGCTCCATTTCGACCAACTGTGTGTTCCGCTTGAGGATACAGCGGACACCTCACTCTTCTCGGAGAATTTGCCTTGCGTATTTCCTTCATTTGAGTGTTTTACGCATTCCCCGCTGGTGTTGCATTGTCAGTAACATTTCCCATTCTGCCAATGCTAGACTTCGTTTGATCTGACGAAGGGGGCGTGTTCGGCACCCCTACTTCTGGAAAATCCCTGTGTGTNTCCCACCCGCCGAGTCGTCTTCGATGTTCTCGCGTGATGATTGTTTTCGCTTTAATTCAGCCTCCCCGAGATTCTGTTTTGATCCCAGTCCTGGGCTCTGCTTTCTTCATTTCTGCCCGCGATATTTCTTTTCGTCATCACAATACCCGGGACCTCCTTCACCCTGCACCATCGCTCCTCGAGATGTCTTTTCAATCTCGTAATATTTTCACCCCTTCCACTCTTCACCTCCACTCCGCGAGAATTGTTTTCTATTTCGCA